GATCTATTAACAGTTCCTGCTTTTCTCTACAAAACTGTTCTTTGCTTCAGAACAGGTCTCCATTCTACAATTCTGCAAGTACTTAGTGTTTCACAACACAAGCCCTTAGTCCTTCTTAACTTCACAATCTGCTTTTGTTAAGACATTTCTCCTGGTGATAAAGATCCTATTGAATTCTAAGCCTATCTTCCCATGTAACTGCAACCCCTCCCAGCTGCACACAGTTTATCCCATTTGGTGGATCCTTACATTTTGACAATGAGTCATTAATAATTATTTTACTGCTATACACAAAAGCTTTTATCATGACATAGGCAGAAAATATTCCTGACAAATACATGTTGCAATCTCTCAGTCTTCCATCAGATAGCACTAAGAGAATGATTTAGTCAGTTTGTGCCTGTGTTTGTGTGCACATGTGTGTGCATAAGTGTATAGACTAGTTTTATTTATTTGTGCTGGAGATTGTGGAAGCTGTTTAAACTGTGTATTAATAAACACTCAGTCCTTGGAAAAAGATGTAACACCTAACTAAGGCAGGAACATAACTAACTGTAAGCAGACATTACATTAGTGATGCAACATGCAATAGGTTTGAAATCTTTATCACAAGATTACAATAATTATTTTTTTTTCTGGCACCTGTTGCAATGATCTTAACAAACAACACTTGATTAAACTGTTCTGCTTCCTGTGAACATGACACTGTTGTCACCTTTATCTTTCAGTTGCAGAAACTTGGGAACAATGAGACTCAGAGTTGACTCTGTGTACTAGGACTGCTATAATACTTTTAAATCAAGTGAAAGAAGTCTTGTGACAAAAGAAATATTATATAGTTATATATAATGGATACAAAAAAGACAGTAAGTTTTCCAGTCACTCTATTAAAAGAAACAGCAGCATTTCTACTAATGTGTGGGGGACACAGAGGTGTGGGAAGAATTTCTATGTGTTGACTTAAAGATTGAACCTCAGTAAAAAATGATCTGCAAAACACAAACTAAATTTCAGGATTCCAACTTAACAGTTGAAGACTGCTGTTGTCTTTCCCAGCTGATAAGCCTATATCACCATAATTGCCTAGACAACAGAAAATACACAGCTTGCCTAAGCAAGTCAGCCTGCCTAGCACAGCTTGTCCACCAAAAAATGCCCCCTGCTTCAGACCAGTATGACTGCATTCACACACTACAGTATTTATTGTCCTAGATACTGTGCCAGGCTGTGAGTGAGATGTTGGTTCTTGGCAGCACACAGAATATACACTACTGTTCAAAATATTCATCTACAAACTGCAGTGATCCATAGATCAACTGTGAAAGTTCTCTATCAGTTCACTCCAAACATACTTCCCTACACTTTATGTCCTATTGATACCATTATTGCTCCTTTACCAGAAAGGATTATGCAAGCATCTGGCTATCTGGTGGTGTTCTTGGAGAGGATAGGTTTTAGCAGATGGCTTAATCAAATACAATGTATTGAGCATAGAGCTGGCAGATATAAAATAACCATGATCATAATACGGAAGATGAGTTAGTGGCAGTGATTTCAGGGGCAGAAAAAGAGAGAAGGTGTGTGCAATTCTGATCCTAACTCTATGGTCGTACTGGGGGACCAACCATAGCAGGGGCAAGCTATGTTCTCAAAGGTGAAAACTCAAGAGATGTGTCTTGTTTCCTCAGCTGGGCCTGCCAATTGAAGCGTAATACATTTCCAAACCTAGGTTATAAAGACTCTTTTTCTTTGGAGGCTAGGACGGCTTATAGAGAAATCACACAGGTCAGAGCTGGGCCAGCTTTACAGAATAGATATATATTCTGTAAGACAAAATGACAATGACAAGCTGGGTTGGTCAGATGAGAAAGATGTATCTCCTGAAGTATTTTGAAGATCATTACCATTAGTCTTAGCTCATTAAGCCTGGTTACCATTACTCTTGCCACTGTCTACAAACAAGTTCAAATGACTGTATAGATAAGACAGAAAATCCAAAGAAACCTGTAATTAACACCCAGGGTAGTGGCTGTCCTAACTATCAGAACAGATGACCACAAAATACAGTGCAATGCTTTGAGTGTGATTTTGCCTGGTAAAACACGTTAGCCTAAATTGCAGGCAAGGGAATTGTGATTAGGGAAAAAAAAGAGATGAACTTTCCAGGTTGTAGTAAAGTGATCTTGGCTGTTGATTATTTGCTCTGTACACTTTTTACAAAATAAGCAACTTTTAAGTGTTGCTACTTCAAATTGAACCTCCATGGTACAGGAGCATTCTTCTTTGCATGGACAATATAATTTTTCTTTTAAATTCTTGCTGATAGGAAGTTACAAAATACATTGGCTCATGATAACTGCAAAACATCTGAAGGATTTTATTTTTTAATTTTGTCTAAAAAAAACCCCAAACCTTTTAATAAAGGTACTTCTATATCCAGAAGTCACAAATACAGATTTATGCTTCTGATTTCCTTTTAAATCAGTCTTTCTTCCATGGGAGTTAGTTTTTTTTCTCTAGTTGGGTCTGTGAGTTGAAAGTGAAGTTTGCTTTCCCACCGTCTGCCCCCCTTTCTAACAAATATGTTTGTAGTTACCATTTCAAGGTTTTGGGTAAAATTCTAGCTTGATGAAGTGATGATTTCTGCTGGTGAATCAAGGCATAGTTTAGCCAGTCCCACTCCTACACTCCCCAGTTGTGATACCACATTATTTGGCACTTTATATTCTGGCTACACTGGACAGTAAGGAATCAGCCTCTTTTACAGACATGACTTCAAATTTTCTGCTTCAGTTTTCAACACTCTTGCAATGTTCATCCTGAGAAGAGCCTAGGAACCAAGTGCCAAAAAAATAACATAGACACTTCTGATGTATTTCAGGAAAGAACACACACAATTCCATATAGCATTGTATTTTAATCCGTATAAAAGCAATTTTTAGGTCAACCATGCAATGTAGTACATGTAGAAAAAGGTGCAATTCCTATGTTCCTATGAAGTATCTGAAGTACTTTCCCCTACACAGCAGTTATTTAGTCAAATTAAACATACACAGAAAATAAATCTGAGAGACAGTAAATATGTTCTGGTAGAGCTATCATTGCCCAATGCTGCAGTTCTGGACCAAAGTTCTCTTGGCTGCTTTCAGACACTTTCCCTGTTTCTATCTTTTTTTTTCCCCTGTGTGATAAACTGGTTGACAAACTTCTAGTTGAAGATAATCTCAGTGTAACTGTTAACCAGTTTTGGTGTGTCACATTCAAAGTCCCAGTTAAACTCCAAAACAGGCTAGGAAAACAAACTCTTGTCACCTGTGAAGCTGGTTAAGTTATTCATCACCAGCCCTTTCTAGTTGCAGTTCTGCTTGTACAAGGCTGACTTAGCACATTTAACTTCTAGTAGAGGGTCACATATGTGACTTTCCACCAGCTCATAAACTGCAGGATACCAGGCAATGTAACCAAATGTAAACAACCTGCAGCAGAAGGCTAAAATCCTTAGAGTACCCCTTGGCTATTAAATATAGTATTGGTGCCTATATTTTCCATTATGGTGAACAAGATTTTCATTAGATGTTAGGTAATGCACAGCACATACAAGTAATACAGAAAACAGACACTGCAAGAGTGCTTTAATTATAATTTCAGGGAAAAAAAAAAGTCCTCTTGTTACAAAAGAAATGTAATGCTAGAGTACTGGGACTGTAGACAGTTCTCTTCATGCTTGTATGTGAAACAATGTAGGAACTTTACCAAACACAAACCTGGTATGTGCCAAGCTCTGTTCTTTAGAGTTGAATTTAAGGATGTTTTCACAGTCAAAGTTTCCAGTTCAGCTCATTATTAATAGCTTTCCATCTTCTTGTTTGTGTTTCTGAGACTGGTGTTTTTATCATTTTCTTGCTTTCCTTTGAGATGACAGATTTCCATCTGCCGTCAAGCTGTGACATTGGATGTAGCTCTCAAGCAGAAGCCTGCTTATGCTTGCTTTCAGTGCACAGTGAGGGGTCACAGGTCCTAACTCATGCAGCTTGGTTTACTCCAACAGTGATAAACTTAAGTGTACAGATGGATGTAAACAGCGAAGCTGAAATAGCATGCATTCACCCTAGGGACAAGCCAGTTATTAAAGCCAAAGAGGAGAAATAGCCAGCTTTCTAGAAGTGGGTTCAATGGGCAGGCACTTGGGAGATAAAACTGTGCTGCTGTATGTGCTGGTGTAGCTGCCTATGACAGTGACAGGTAAAACACGTCTTTGAGACTACTTTGGAGAAGACCACACTGACTCAAATCGCCCATCAAGTTAGTAATGTACAATTCACATCTCAGCAATGTGAACGTCAAGAAAAATACCAAGTCCCTCCTTATTTCCGATTGGGTCCCTTTGCTTTTTTAGCTCGGCAAGCTGTCTAATTCCCATTAGACCTAGCATAAGAAAAGGAAGGGAGATTCAGTCTCACAATGTGAAATGTTGAGAGAGATCGAAAGTAGTTTGATGCACTCACTTGAAATAGAGAGAAGGTAGTGAGAAGAATTTATGAAGAAAGGCTGCGCAGGTTGTATAGGAAAAAGGGACTGATGGAAAGAGCACTGGTAGGTGCAATCTACTGTGTCTCATGCTGCAAGTTGAAGCACTTTGTTTTGGATAACAGAATGAAACAATACGATTTTTCTTAGCTTTTACTGAAAAAAAAAAAAAAAGTAACAGCTGAGGGGGCACAATCAGGGGGTAAAAAGTCTCTTCATTGAATAAAACCTACTGTGCTGAGATTCTTCAATGTATTGAGGGGGACCAAAAGGAGGAAGACAGTTACACTGCCCCCACCTGCTCAAAAGTGACACTCCTTTTTTGTATCTGACGAAGAGAGTGAAAGAACAAACTTCATTCCTCCCACTGCTGCAGCCTCTGCAACTGGAGGGAGGCAGCACTGGCTTAAATGACATTCACAAGTAGTTGACACTGCCCCGTCGTTGTCCGTCCCCGTCCCCGTCCCCCCCCCCCAACTCTTTAGGAGATGCTCCTCAGTGTAGGTAAGGAGATAAAAAGGAAAAAAAACCCATCACTGATGGTCAGCGGAGCTGGTAGCACATATTGCCATGGTGTACCTGTGTTCCTAAGCCCTTCCCTTGCCCTCCAGAGAGAACAGGACATGTGCTATAAACACAGTCACTTCCCTGTCTTCTTCCCTTTCACAAACTGTAAATTACCCCTTCCCCCACCCCCAAACCCTTCACCCCATTTTTGACCAAAATCCTTTATTAGCTTGCCTCTGAAGTTGACACTGTTTGTGATTCCTGGCTCTCTCTTTGGGCACTAAAGTCTCCTCTTTGAAAAGTGATTCTGCCCCAACAACAGGATCCCAGCAGCAGGCATGCATGGAAGAGTTGCTGCCAGAAGGCTGCTCTAATTTGTGGATGCAGGAATACTGACTGATTTTTAAAACCTTCCTCAGTGGCAGCTTCCCAGGAAGACTGTTTTTAAAACATGATTGTTTATTTTTATCTTTTTCCTTGAGTGTAAAAACATTGCTTATTGCTTTCTGACACCTAAGAAAGTTTGAGGGAAATGGGGAGCTAGGAAATCCTGGAACTGTGGAATTATTTTAAAACTGTTGTTTTCCTGGGTTCTTTCATGCAGATTTTTATCACTAGGTAACACAACTCAGCCAGATTCAACATCATGCAGATCCCAGACACAGCAAGCATGAAAATGGTAAATGTGGTTTTCTCAGTGGGCCGAGAAACAAAACAATCCACTGTGTTGGGGCAGGGCCAGGCATTGCACTTCACTAAGCGAGGCATCTGGTACCCGTCATACATGTAATAGAACACATACATGAAGACTGCTTCAAAGATGATCCTGAAGAAGATGCTGCTGGTGTATGTCCACCAAAGGGGCCCTCGAATGTGAATCTTTTCATTTTTGAGCTCTTCGATATTTATTTTCTCACCATTCCTGAATCGTCTCTTCTTCTCATGTCTGGTGTAAGCTACATGCATGGCCACCAGCAGCGCAGGTGTGGAAACAAAGATCAGCTGCAGGGCCCAGAGTCTGATGTGAGAGATGGGGAAAAAGTGGTCATAGCAAACATTTCTGCACCCAGGCTGAAGCGTGTTGCAGACAAAATCTTGCTGCTCATCTCCCCAGACTCTCTCTGCAGCCACAACCAGGATCATGATACGGAAGATGAACAGGACTGTGAGCCAGATCTTCCCAATGCTGGTGGAGTGTTTATTTACACCTCCTAAAACAGCCTGCAGAGTTCCCCAGTCCATCTTCTCTTCTGTGTCCTTTCACCTGTAGGATGACGTAATACACCAAATGATCACTTATCAAAGGGTGAAAAAATCAGTTCTAGACTTCCTATGAACGAGACGACTTCCTAACACTCACTCAGGAGTCATAGGCAAATGCAAGTTATTTTCATTAATGTCATCCGTAAGTTTATGGATTTAAACAGCTTATTAAACCCTCTCCTTCCATGTATTTACAATGGAACAAGCATACCTTGATATATTTCTCAATAAGGCTTTAAGCAGGAAATAAATTACATTTTCAAATGCATTTTCTCCATACATTCTTTATGCTCTCCTTACCTTTCTTAAGGTATTTCCCTTTCTGTGGTTTACTTTCATCAGTTTTTTGCCTCTACTTCCCAAAGCAATCGATATCACCATCATGACATGAGTTAAGGCCAATCTAGACAAAGTAAAGACTTCTCTACTAGTTTTCACAGGATTTCTTCGCCAACACCACAGCCCTAGAAGGGCCAGACCTGTGCTTGCATTGCTTCTGAGGCAAGTACTATTTGGCCTTCTTCAGCAGAAGCCACGCAGACACCTCCAGCAGGCCTTCAAGGCTTTCTGCTGCAGCTCAGACATGGACCTTCATCTCATAAGCATGTGACTTTGTCAACACTGCTGAGAAGCCGCAAGCCAGCTCTGTCAACGCGGCATGCATATATAGCACAAACCAACAGGCAAAGGAGGAAGATACTGCAGAGCCTGCCCTTCCACATTCATTGCTATCTCATCCAAAAGGGAGACAAGCAGAACCATAGAGTTGAGAGAAAAAAATCCCTCAGCTGAAGAGTTTATGTTGATTTTCTAGATGCTATCACACCCCAGCAGAAGCTTTCAATTTCCCTCCTCTCGAAAAGGAAAAGCCACACTCTCTGCCCTTTGAAAGTTAAAGGTAAGCTTTGCTGAAGTCAGAATTCAGTCTCAGGGCTCAGCTTTCACTGATTGCAGCCATTGGAAACCACCACTGAATTGGACAAAACACGAAATCAGAGCTGGGAACTTGCATAGCTGGTCCGTCATCTTTCAAGGATAGGGCTCAATTTTGCTGTGTGGGGGAAGCTACACTGGCCATGGATAAAAGCTTTGTCTCCTCTTACTGCAGACTGTGTGCTGCAGGCAGAGCATGGTACCTTGCACCACCACACTGGGCCAAGTTGTCAAAACCTCTCATTCTCACATAAGTGAGGAAATAGAAAAAAAAAAATAAACACAAACAAACAAACAAACAAAAAAAAACACAAACCACACACAAAAAAAAAAAAAAAGAAAAGAACTTTTCTAAAACCCCGCTGTAGTTACAACACAAGCAAAGGGGTAACCTGCCCCAACAAACCCTTGGTACAAGGGCCTAGCTTGTACAGACAAGCCTTGAGGCAGGAGGGAGAGGTCAGATTTACTGTGATGAGGAAAGATAAAATTGGATAAGACAAAAAAAAAAACCAAAACCCAACCAAAAACCAACTTTTGAGAGGGTGGCTGGAATTCCTTGGACTTCTCATGCTTTGACTCTTCTGAAACTAGCAGCGTTTTATGCAGCTTTTTTGTAGCTTTTTGCATTGACCCAAACTCCAGGCCATGATCAGATACCTGCATCTTTTCGTTAAAACCTTCCTCATTGTCTAGTGCACGGACATTTTAAAGTCAATGAAACTTTCACAAGGGGCTAACCAGGACTGAGTGAAAGCATTTGAAGTGTGTATCCCAGTGGGATGAACAAGTGCAGTCTCACCCTGTAGTTCTGCACCAGCGTTGCAAGCGTATGCTAAAAAGACAATATTTCTCCCTGCTCTTTTACCACTCCAGAAACACTGAAATTGGCTGTGGGCACTGAGTGAACCCCCCGGGATACGCACCCTGCCAACGAAGACAACATTTATTGGAAAGCACTCGAAATCCCCACTTGGTGGTTACCGGCCGGACGCCCCGAGGCGGCTCCCGGCCGATCCTTCCCCTCCGCTCCCAGCTCTGCTCCCGCTGGACTCCGAGCTGCGGGGCGCGCTGTGAGTGCCCAGCGAGCCTTCACCGGCGGGAAACGCCACCGCCGACGGCGCTCGGCTCCCGCCAGCAGACGCCCGTTTCCAAACGGTCCTGACCCGCTACCCCAGCCCAGCCCCACAGCGCTGCCTGAAGCCTCCCCAGTCCCGAAGCACTTCATAGATCCCGGTCCGCTCCGGGATCGCACAGTCTAATCCCCATCCCACCACCCCATCCCACACGAGCTGCTCCAAACCCTCACCTGCTCGGCTCGGCACCCGAAACGCGACCGGCACCCTGCGCTGCTCTGTTCTGCTCCCCTCCCGGGTCCGTCAGTGCCGAGGAGCGGCCGGCCCCAGCCTCCCCACCCCTGAGCTTTAAGGTCCCTCCCTGTTCACCTGCCGCCTCTTTTAAACAGCCCGTCCCCCTTCCCCCACCCTTCCACCGCGTCCGGCTCCTCCGGCCGCCCGTGGAGGCGGCGGGGATGGGAGCCTGGGGCGGGACGGGGCGGGGCGCGGCTGGGTGTGAGGCGCCCATCACTGCCCATGGCCACCCAGCCGTGCCGAGGGGCAGGACCGAGGGGTCAAGCCGCAGCTGCCGGCACCGGGCTGTGCCGCGCCCGCGGGGTGGGGGCTGCTGGGAACGGAGCGGGGCTGCCGCTGCTCCAGCGGCTCCCAGACCCCTCCGCGGAGCGCCCTCTGGTCCTCGCAGGACGTCCTTGCCCAGAGACCCGCTAAGGGATGAACGTCGGGTAGAGTGCGCTCGGTACCTTGCAGGATTGATTCTCAACAGTTATCAGAAAACGTGTTATGGGGAGAATTCAAGTCCCGTGGGACTCTCCGACGCTGCCCAAGTGCCGTGGCAGCCCGAGGAAACCGCCACTGTGGCCTAGTTCCAAAAACACTCAGATAAAATGGATCTCCCAGAAGCTTTATCTAGGGTTAGGAAGGGCTGGAGAAAGAAACCTCAGAGGCCTTCTTAGATGGCTTGAGTTGGGAAGATGAGGAACATTAACCAAGTAGCTAATTTTACATTAATAAGTGAAATGATCTTGACAGCCAAGTGTAGGGGTAACAAGGGCTGCAGGCATATAAGGGCAGGATAGAAATCTTAAGGTTGCTTTTCCTTTGAAATCCTGTGCGCTTTCTTACAGCTGTAAGAAATCTTGCTGGTATCCTCCTTGCTAGTGTGCACAACCTTGGTTTCACTGCTACTGCGCAAAGGCTGGAGGGAGTTGTTTTTGTGATAGGATCTACCAGAAAGTATAAGGAATGAATTAAAAGTTACCATGTGAAAAGTCACTAGGTGTTATTTTTCTGGAGGGGGGCATTTGACAAGTGTATGTAGGGATAGGACAAGAGAGAATGGCTTTAAACTGAAAGAGGGAAGATTCAGATCAGGTATTGGGACAAAACTCTTCACTATGAGGGTGGTGAGACTGTGGAACAGGCTGCACAGAGAAGTTTTGGCTGCTCCATCCCTGGCAGTGTTCAAGGCCAGGCTGGATGGGCCTTTGAGCGATCTGGTCTAATGGAAGGTATGCCTGCCCATGGCAGGGGATTGAAACTGGATGATCTTTAAGGTCCCTTCCAACCCAAACCATTCTGTTTCTATGAAAAGAATAAAAAAGGCCTCTTCTTGTTACAATATACTTTAAGATCCATATTTAAGGAAAGCTGCCGAGGATGGAGGACATGGCCAGCCAGGCATGAATTAGATCAACACTGCAGCCCAAACCTCAGGCTTTGATTGTGAAATATACCCAGTACTGCTGCCAGGCTCAGGTCCACCTCACACTGTGCTTCACCCAAAGCATACAACCAAGAATGACTTCTACTAAATGACGCTTGATTATGACACAGCAGAGCCTTTACTTTTCAAAAACACTGTGATCAAAAATCCTACCAGAAAAAGAATGCTGTGCTAAAGAGGATTTGCAGCTAGAAGGTGGTGAAATGCTATGTGTACAACTCCTGAAATAACAAGAACTTGTCTAAGTATGTAAAGTACTGCTGAAAATGACAAGTTTCTTTCTGTATATTGAAGTAAACATCTGTCCTGTAAATTGCCCTTAGTACCGAGCTTGGTTTTGTAAGGCGTGTCTGGAAGTAGAAACACTTTCATCAGCAGAGATTTGAATAAAATGCAAGCTTGATCTTGTAATTTGTATAGATAACAGCTACGAGAAACTAGAACTTGTGTGTATCTGCAGAATGGCAAAGTGAATTTGGTTTTGCTCTCAGAGCTTTTGAAAATGAAGTCAGATATATAAGATCTTTAAATAATCTAAGAAGAAATGTCTGGAAGAATCAACTATGTTTTATAAAGTAATACCCAAATTTGATAGTTACAAATATATATGCTTGAAAGAAACCCACAACTCCTGTTGCTCAGTATGGTCACAATGATTTTCATTTACAACCAACCAAAATCTACCGTAAAGCTGAGTGCTATCTTTCCTTTCCTGCATTATTGTTTGCTTGTATGTGTAAGGAAGTTCATAATGCTTTATTTGAGAGGTAGAGGGGAGTCCTGGCAAGGAATTCTGATAGAGTACAAACCCAGGCATGCAGGCTTTTTGCTTTCACTTTGCTTAACACCTGGCTAGTTGGCAGGAGGTGCAAGAGCCAAGGAGTACCAGCTCTGGCATCTGTAAATGTTCAGCTGTAAGGAAGCAGAAGAATTCTGCTCAAGAATTCTGGCAGCACTGAACATGATAAATGTTACAAAGTGTGTGCGCATACTTACAAAACATTGATTCTTGTGGATTGTAAAGTAATGTGAAAATAGAACCTTCATAAAAATAAGAAAATAAATACTGTTGTAACTTTATCAGCACAGAAACAGGTTTTAGTTCATTTCAAAAAAGCAGAAATCTTGGCATCATCTTCCAGTAATCTCTTACAGCTTTCCAAAGGCTCTGTCTGCATCAGTTCATTCAACAGCCCTCAGGCAGCTCCAAATGCTCTGTCTGGATCCATATTTTTAATAGCCCTTGCTTCATTCTCTGCTTTGCCTAACCATGCTTTGATGTCAATTGTATCAGGATTATATACAT